ATATTAAGTAAATGTTCAATATAACTTCCAATAGAAAAAAAAAATCTTAGGGTTAATCTCCCAAGTGAGAATTGCTGGAAAAGGTCAATTTTAAAATATAGGTCTACATAGTTGTATTAGAAAAATTCTCCAAGTCAGTTTTGTTCATTTTGATTATTTTGTATAAAATGCAGATGTTTGCTTACACGTGGCGGAAACATGTAAATGCATTGTTCTACGAGTGAGTAGAGCATATGTTTGTAAAAGTAGTAGTAGTATTTGTATGGAATGTTTATGTGTGAATGTAAGGCTGTATTTATGTTGAATGTGAATGCAGGGGTGTATTTTTGTGGAATACTTGTGAACACATGAAAATGTTGGTGTACTTTTGACAGTGTATATTAATGTGGACAGTCTGTGCATGAATTAAGGGGTATATTTGTATGGATTGTCTGTGTGTATACAGTATGTTTGAGTATAATATATGTGAATGTAGGATTGCATTTGTATGTGTGCAGAGTGTAAGCATGTGTGAATGAGTGGGTGTATAAGACATTTGTCAGTGTGTGTGACTGAGGGGTGTATCTAAAATCTGTGTCAGTGTGTGAATGAGAGGTGTATTTGAAATCTGTGTCAATGTGTTTGTGCATGATTAGTGTATTTGCAATCATTGTCAGCATGTGATAAATGAGGTATATTTATATACTGCAAGTGTTGTAGTTTTTTGACTCTCCAAGTTTCTGTCTCTCTCATTTTTCCCCCAATGTGTATGTGTGTCTTCCCATTATAGCCCTCTTTGATCTGTCACCCCTTGTCTCCCATTTTGTTACTCTTTAACACTAGTAGACACCCATCTGACCCATTTCTGTCCCCCTCACACCCCACTAAGCTGTGCTTCTGCTTCATCTGATATTTTTCCTTCCCAATCACCCACTTGTGTCTTTTCGGTCACCCTCATTTGTCTTCCATCACACATAATTGTTTAACTCATTCATTTGTGTCTCACCCTATCTACTCCACATTTCTCTATAAAAAAACATGTGAGCCTTTGCCCTGTCTCACGCCTTCATCCCACATATTTCTAGGCCCTTTTCACCCATAGCCTGTTTACCTGCGCCAGCCCTATGTTTTTTCTCCCTCCATCTACCTCAAGCAGCATATATGGGAGGAATCTTCTGTGTCTGCCAGGCTCCTGATGTGCCCAAGTAGTCAGTTAGCCCCTGATTGCTTACCTCCCAAGTGTATCTATTTGTGAGGGACAGTCCCTATTTTGGACACTTCTCTTAGTCCCTCTTTTCTATCATAATGTCCCTCTTTTCTAGGAGCTCTATGTGGTATATGTCTAAGTGTATAACAAAACTCCACATCAATATTACTCACAGTAATGTGTCTTTCAACGTACACTATAGGTGTCAACTTTAGCTTAGGGAAGCAGGTTTAGTGTACAGATCATGCCCCTCCAGTCTCACTGCTCAATTCACTGCCATTTAGGAGTTAAATCACTTTTGTTTCCGTTTATGTAGCACTAGCCACACCCCCATTGATTATGGCTCACACAAACTGCATGAAAAAAAAGGTTTCATTTTCAATCAGATGTTACCTTGCTTTAGAAGTTTTTATCTCCTGCTCTGTAAATTGAACTTTCATCACACACAGGGGGCTCCTGCAGGGTCTAGAAGGCTATTAACAAAACAGAGAAAAACTTTTTTTGAATCAAACAGATAATGCAATAAAGGAAATTTTAACATTAGATGTCTCTAAGCGTTTAGGAAACGGTGTCACATGCAGGGAGGTGTGACCAGGGTTTAAATAGCAGATAATTGTGAAGTGAAACTGCAGGGGCATAATCGATTGACCAAAACTGCTTCATTAAGTTGTTTGGTGCCTACAGTGTTCCTTTAAACTACAATAATTGGTTTAGAAATCTGTCTGTGTAAATAAAATAATTTTTTTTCTGCCCTGAATTATATTTTAGTTGCCTAAATTGTTATTGGTAAATCACCTTTCTCAGAAAACCCTGCCCACACCTCAAGCACACTTCTCAAGCATTGTAGGTGACAATAGTTTCCTATCACTATAGTGACCTACAATGCCCCTCCCTGGACTGCCATACGGTCTCAAGGGCAACAGCCAATCTGGCAAAATTCAATGTATAAAAACTGAATTGGGCAAGCTCTACATTTAAACCTGCAACTTTCCAAAACATTGTAAAACATGGACATGAAGAGTACTGTTGTTCTTGTGAGACATCACTGAACACAAATATGAATAGTTTAGAGCTGCAAAATGTATGATGCTGATGATATCATTGGTGAAAGGGTAGTTTTTTGTGAAAAATACAAAAAACAAATATGAATGCTAACTTTGGCCAGGGTTTGTGAAAATGGCTTCTAAGTGCTGGATTGTCTACCTTTGCAAGTGGTATGCCATGATGGGGTACATTTTTATTTCTGGGTTGCCACATGGTATGAAATATATGCAAATCCCGCAAATCAATCTACCAAATTTCAATATGTAAACTGAAATGGGTTCTTAATTTGACCCTGTAACTTATAAAACCCCCTAAAACCTGTACATAGGGGGCATCATTGTACCAATGGGACATCACAGCATACAAATATGTGTGATTTATTGATATAAAATGATATATAACAAATGCAGGTACCCTTAAAGGGACACTCGAGACACCAAAACAACTTCATCTAAATTAAATTGTTATTGTGCCAGGAGGTCCCTGGAGGCATCGTCAGCTGACCGCTCTCAGCCAATCAGGGGCGCACGTGCCTAGCAGCACCAACAGTTTCCTGAATCTGAAGAGTAAGAGTGCCCCCGGGGCCTCCAAGTTGTTTTGGTGCCTGGAGCGTCCCTTTAATATAAAAGAGGTAAATTATGGTTGAACAGATATATAGCTTATTTCTGTTTTTTGTTTAAGAACTTGGACATTTACCTCTGTCCTTAAGGGGTTGGATGAAAAAAAGAAAACAATTGTAGGCTTCCAGGTTAAGGTTGTAGTATATATTTCTGAGTTTAAAAAAAACAAATCCTTCCAGATGCTTCAAAAACAGATGCTCTTTTCCCCAGGAACATATAAGAGTACTAGTAGCAGGTGTAACAACAGGACTGCGTGAATGTGTCACTGTGCAAGTAGCAACCCTTAAACAGAACCTTAAACATTATCCTCACAAGCAGAGCTGACCCCTGGGACACTGCTGTACTGTCTGGAGCAGCAATTGGCCAGTTGGGAATTTAGAGATTTTACCCTACAAGCAATATAGTGGAAGAGCGCACCTAACCCATTATGTTAGAGTAGTGTGGCCGTGCTTTCAGCTTTCTCTCTTGTTCAGCCCCAATCATGAAAACTGCACTTCCCAAGTATCTAATCATAAAATATGTTTCATGCTCTTACATTGTAAAGAATTAGCTAAGCATCACAAGAATGGTCCCAGCCCTTTTTACAAGATTTTGTCCATATCACCATTCAGCAACGTTATTGAGCAGGTCACTGTGTGTCTGTAGTTAGATATGATGTCTCTGTTATGTTACACATTTAGAAAACACAGTGGCCACATGATCTTTATAAAAAAGTTCAACAAATTAAATATTTTGTGTTTGTATATTTGTATATTGCAATTCATTTTTTTCTATTGTGATAATGAATGGTACAGCTATTGTCAATAAGGAATTAACCTCCAATGCTGTGAAATACTGTGATGCCTAAAGTTTCACACCTTGACTGCAACACACCAAAGTATTCTATTTTCTGGTACTCTCTCTTAAAGAGAAACCAAGTTGTATTCCTAGCACTATAGTACCCTCTGCCAACCCCCTCCCTCGTGCTCCCTCCACAGCAGACAATAAAGGTTTAAACGTTACCTGATTCCAACATCGATGTCCGTCACGCTCCACTTTTGCTCCTCCGCCATGGGGGTCTAATGCACATGTGCGTCATGCGCTGCAAGTGCATTAGGACTTACCCATAGTAAAAGTACCCATAGTACCAATGCAGAGTATGAGGACGCCCAGTGTCATTTAGAGGAACTAAAGTTTGCTAAGGACCCAGAAGCGCCTTTGGTGGCTGTCTGGTAGACAACCACTAGAGGTGAAGTTAACCCAGCAAGGGAATTACTATGGTTTCTCAATAACTGCAATAATTACAATTGCAAGGTTAACGGGACAGAAGCACTGCACCCAGACCACTTCAATGCAATTAAGTGTTCAGGGTGCCTACAGTGTCCCTTTAAAGGAACACTATAAGGTTAGGGATACAAATAGTGTCCCTTTTCCTTGTGCTGTTAGGTCCACCCCCACCCTGTTCTGCATAAAAAGAGTTAAAAACTCTTTTTTGCTTATCTTGTACCAGAGCCAAGGCTCACTCGACGCTGCTTAGCTCTCCTCACACTACAACATTCATGGTTCGATATAATGCTCTTCGCAGAGTAGCAGTGGCGCTAATGCCAATGTGCGAGAGCGCCACACATTCATTTTTTTACATAGGAATGCAGTGGTTCAATGCTTTTCTTTGGGGCTACTGACTGTCTCCACTCCCTGTGACGCTGCCTGGTGCTGGGTAGTGAGACCGACTATCGCTAATCCCAGGGATGCTTGCTGCTGCTGGGATGAGGGACCGACAGTCTCTTCTCCCTGTGACATTGCCTGGTGCTGGGTAGTGAGACCGACTATCTCCACTCCCAGAGATGCTTGCTGCTGCTGGGATGAGGGACCGACACTTTCCTCTCCCTGTGATGCTGCCTGGTGCTGGGTAGTGAGATCAACTATCTCCACTCCCAGGGATGCTTGCTGCTGCTGGGATGAGGGACGACAGTCTCTTCTCCCTGTGACACTGCCTGGTGCTGGGTAGTGAGATCAACTATCTCCGCTCCCAGGGATGCTTGCTGCTGCTGGGAGGAGGGACCGACAATCTCCTCTCCCTGTAACGCTGCCTGGTGCTGGGTAGTGGGACCGACCAGCTGCACTCTCAGTGATGCTTGCAGCTGAACTGCTTTTCGTAGGTTCTGGTATGCCTGCTCCAGTTCCCATTCTATAGCGACCAGACGGGTGATATCTGGTCCCAGGACTGTAGTATTAGGGAGCTCCAGTGCATCCATACGATATTCCCGGATGCCCCAATACCGAGACTCCTCCTTGCTGCTGAAGTCACTGTCTTTCTCCAAAGCCTCCCAGAGTAGACCAGGGCCATTGTAGTGATCCTCCTCTGGTCTTTCATTCTCCGCCCTTCACGGGCACCTTTGGACCAAGTACCATTGTCATTCTGTAAGTGCAATTTGTATTAATTAGTTTGTATTTGGCAATTCTGCACTACGTGTTTGCCTCTTTTCTAATTCTATGTGCACAATTCAATAGAAGAAGGCTGAAGAATCTACTGTACCCAGTTTCTCAAGATATGCCTACTAGCATAAGGGTAAAATTATTACAATCCCTACACACACTTTCACACTGGTGTTTTGGGTGTCTTACATATATTGACACCTATGCAATAAGTTAGCTTGTGAAATTTCATCCCTGCTAGAAATGCCACCTTGAACTATGAGTGATATTATTGGAAAGTAGAAGTGTTTAGGAACAGCAGCAACTCAGCCACGAAGAACAAGGCAAATTACAGTCACAGAAAAGGGTTTAGTGCTAAGGCGCATGATGTGTAAAAGTCACCAATAGTGATGGCCCGAACGGTTCGCCGAACAGTTCGCCGTGGACGGCGAACATATGCGCAGTTCGGTCCGCCCCCTATTCGTCATCATTGAGTAAACGTTGACCCTGTATCTCACAGTCAGCAGACACATTCCAGCCAATCAGCAGCAGACCCTCCCACCTCCTGGACAGCTCACTAAGAATGCAGCTTCACAATGAATGTAAAATGGATGCTGTCCAGGAGATGGGAGGGAAGGTCTGCTGCTGATTGGCTGGAATTTGTCTGCTGACTGTGAGGTACAGGGTCAAAGTTTACTCAATGATGACATAGGGGGCGGACCGAACAGCGCATATGTTCGCCGTCCGTGGCGAACCGTTCGGCGAAACGTTCGGCGAACCGTTCGGGACACCACTAGTCACCAACGCTGTGCTCATTCCATAGCTGAAGAGTTCTAAACTTCCTCTGGCATTAATATAAGCACAAAAATGGGTTTCCATTGCCAAACATCTGTATACAAGCCTCACATCACCAGGTATGCCAATGCCAAGCGTTGGATCGAGTGGTGAAAAGCATGCCGCATTGGACTCTGGGGCAGTGGAAACATGTTCTGTGGAGTGACAAATTACGCTTCTCTGTTTGGCAGTCTGATGGGGGAGTCTAGGTTGGGCAAATGCCAAGAGAACGTCACCTCCTGCCTGACTGCATTGTACCAACTGCAAAGTTTGTTGGAGGAGGGATAATGGTTGGAGCTGTTTTTCAAGCGTTAGGCTAGGCCCCTTACTTTTAGTGAAGGGAAATCTTAATTCTTTAGCATTCCAAGATATTTTGAACTGTGGGAACAATTTGAGGAAGGTCCTTTTCTATTTTAGCATGGCTGTGCCCCAATGCACAAAGCAAAGTCCATAAAGACATGATTTATAGAGATGATACCACACTCAAATATTGATGCAAAGAAAAACAAGAATATAACATAAAAATTTGCAAATTACAATAGGTCATTTGTAACCTAATATACCCTGCAATTGTGATATAACACATATACTTCCCTATTAAAGTGGTAAAACAAAAAGACAAAAAAAGCAAAACGGTACTAATTGTACAGAAACATGTAAATACATCCACACACTAGTCAGTAGTAAAAGTCCCTGAAAGGCATGCTTCCTATACCATATGTGCAGAGTCCTTTTAGTACAAGTTATAGTCACAAGAATTAAAAAAAGAAGTAAAAGAAAAAGAAAAAAGGGGGGCAAAAAATGTGAAATATTGCAAAAACAAAGCAAAAATTCTTTTTTTTTTTCTGTTTTTCTCAATATTTTATTTTTATATGCAAAGCTTTCATATTGTACCTATGTGAAGAATTCCCATCTTTGGATTTACTTATATTTTGGTCACTGATTCTTATGACTATAACTTGTACTAAAGGACTCTGCTTTTGTGGTGTAGTAAGCATGCCCTTCAGGGACTTTTACTATTGACTTATGTGTGGATGTATTTACATGTTAGAAATAACTGATATACTTTTCTGTTTTTTTGCGACTTTAATAGGGAAGTATATGTGCTATATCACAATTGCAGAGTATATTAGGTAACACCTTACCTACACTAATTTGCTAATTTTGGTATTAAATGCTTGTCTTTATTTGCATGAATTTTTGAGTGCGGTATCTTCTCTAAAAATGTTGTACATATTGGAGGTTTTTTGAGGGCAACCTCGATACCAGCACCTTCAGAGACAGGAGAGTGCCTACACACACACACACAAACACACACACACACATATTGGATAAGTTTGGTATGGAAGAACACCTTTAGGATGATGTTGAACGAAGATTGTGTGCCAGGCCTTCTTCTCCAATATCAGTGTCTGATCAAACAAATGCTCTACTGGACAACAACTCCCATAGAAACACTCTAAAATATTGTGGAAAGCCTACCCAGAAGAGTGGCCGCTATTATGGCTGCAAAGAGGAGATCAACTACTTATTAATGTCTATGTATTTAGAATGCAATGTCATAAAAGTTCCTGTTGGTGTAATGGTGAGGTGTCCCAATACTAAGTCCATGTTGTGTGTATGTATGTTGTATGAATTGACCCCAGCAGCAGCCTATAATGTATGCATGTTTAGGTGAGTGCAGTCTCTTGGTTTCATATATTTATATATAGGAGTCCAGGCCTACTCCCCGGTTTTGCACCCCTCCATGTTATAACTGCCTCAATCAAGGGTCCTATTTAACCTTGGCCTGCAGAGAGTCCCAATGGAAGGATTTGCCAAGTAAGTGGATTAATCTCATGAGAGCAGGCATTAGGATGCTTGAGTAGGACCTGTTTAGAATGGGGTACATTGACATTGTGGTGGGCTTATGCAATGTATATTCATATACTGTAACTAAACCTCCATTATATTTTTTGTCTAAGTGAGGTGTTTTTAAATAAAACTATTACATTCTGTGAAAGTTGAAATAGCTGTTTAGTGAATAAGCAAATGTGCTGGATCTTGTGTGTATATATATATATATATATAGAAAAATAAAACAAGATAGCACTCCCAGGACTTATTCAATCAAAAAAATATATAAAACTTAACTTTTAATCAGTATCCAAAAAACAGATCGACGTTTCAGTCTGTTAACCACAGACTTTCCTGATGAGTGCTATCTTGTTTTATTTTTCTGTGTTTTGCTGGACAAGCACCGGGCAAGTAGAGCTTTGAAAGTGGAGTGCAGGATTATTTTTCTTGTTATATATATATATATATATATATATACAGGGCCCACCCAAGACATTATGCTGCCTGGGTCCAAGGATGAAATGCTGCCCCCCCGCCTTGCACCAAAAGCATGCCATCATCCATTATGTTATGCAGTGTGTGTAGTCAATGCAATGTCTGTTTGTGTAGTGGATGCAGTGTGTATATCATATTCAGTGTGTAGATAATGCAGTGTGTGTGTTCAGTTGATGCAGTGTCTGTGTGTCGTGGATGCTGCGTCTGTGTGTCGTGGATGCTGTGTTTGTGTGATGTGGATGCTACATCTTTGTGTCATAGATGCTGCATCTGTTATTGTGTCATGGATGTAGTGTGTATTGTATGCAGTGTGTGTATTGAATATATTGTCTGTGTGTGTATACTGGAGGCAGTGTGTGTAGTGGATGCAGTGTGTCTAGTGGATTCAGTGTCTGTGTAGTGCATGTAGTGTGTGAGTGTAGAGTTGGATAAATGCTGGTGGGGATGAGCAGTTTAAATTAAATGGGGGTTATCCCACCTTCCTGCCTCTTACCTGTGGGCTGGAATGGTGGGACTGTGTGTAGGAAGGTGACAGAATAGAGGGAACAGTGTGTAGGAAGGGGGCAGGGTATGAGGATGACAGTGACAGGGTTACAGTGGAGGGGCAGGGTGAAAGGGTGACAGTGAGGGTGCAGTGTATGAGGGTTGATAGTGACAGGGTGACAGTGGGGGGCAGGGTGTGAGGGTGAAAGTGGGGGGGCAGGTTCAGAGGGTGACAGTGTCAGGGTGATGAGGGGCAGTGTAAGGGGGTGACAGTGACAGGGTGACAGTGGGGGGGTCGGATGTGAGGGTGACAGTGACAGTAATGGGGACAGGGTGTGAGGGTGACAGTGGGGGGGGGCAGGGTATGAGGGTGACAGTTGAAGGGCAGTGGGGTGACAGGGTGTGAGGTGGGGGTAGGCAATCAACTACCCACATTGACATTCCTTTCTTTCAGTGCTCCCTATTCCCTGGTGGTCCAGTGGTTGGCTCTACAGGTCCTCAGCTCCGCCGGGTGTGAGTTGCGGACCAAGATCTCGCAAGCTCCAAATAGAGCGTTGCCGTGGTAACCGATGGCAATGCTCTGGGAGCTTGTGCGCTTTCCATTACATGGTCTGCAGCTCTGCACACGGCAGAGCTGCAGACCGGAGGCTCCCCCTTGGCAGACTAATCGAGGGGCCTGGCGGCACACATGGCAAGCTGCCGGGCCCCTTCCTGATGTCGGGTCCTCGGACACTGACCGAGAATCCGACTGATTAGTCTTCCCCAGGGTTTAGAGAACCGCCTCTGCTGCATATACGGCCCAGGCCCCTGTTAAAGTGCCGTCCTGTGGACGTGCTAACCCTGACTATATATATCTATATATATATAGATATAAATACACTATATATAAACCAGTGACAGGTGAATAACATTATAATGTAATGATTATATTGTTACAAAGCACTTGTCAAGGGGTAAGATATATTAGGCAGCATGTGAACAGTCAGTTCTTGAATTTCATGTGCTGAAAGCAGGAAAAATGGGCAAGCAAAAAGATCTGAATAATTTGAGGGCCAAATAGTGATAGCTAGCCCAGATGACTGGCTTAGAGAATCTCTGAAACAGCAAGTCTTGTTGGGTGTTCCCGGTATGCAGTGGTTAGTATCTACCAAAGTGGTGCAAGGAATGACAACAGGTAAACTGGCATCAGCATCATGGGCACACAAGGCTCACCGATGCACCTGTGGAGCGAAGGATAGCTCGTCTGGTCCAATTACACAAAAAAGCTACTGTAACTCAAATTGCTGAAAAACGTAAAGCTGGCCATGATAGAAAGATGT